ATTTAGAAGCTAGGAAAATAGGGCCTTCCTGGCCTTAGGGAAATAAACGTTGGTCAGCTTTTGAACTCTCCTCTTTCTCTTTTCGTTCCAAAGAAGAAAGTTCATTTTTCGACACTAGCGAAGAAAAAAGGATTTATTCCAAAAATCGAAAACAGGATAAACCATGTCTAATTCAAAAGAAATCTTTTAACATTTGAATCTAAACAGAATTTACTGCACATTAACGCTGAATGTTTTTGTTCAGATTTAAATTATTACAAATTCTGGGAAGGATTTAATTTTTTTATTATAAATTTTGGCCGTCCTGGATAAGACGATAAACGACGCCCAACAGCAAGGCCTCTGATCAGAAGATTTTGAGGAGCGTAGAACCACCTCTTATTTGCTGGTGTTCTCAGGACCACCCTGACCCGGGATGCTAGCACCTGTTAGGGTCCCAGCTATGAGCAAATAGTTAACACTCAAACTTGTGTAAAAAAATAGGCTTTAATACCAGAAAAAAGATTATTACCAACAATAATTTTTGAAGGAAAAATTATTATCAGCAATACTTAATACAAGAGGGCACAGAATCTCTAATATACACTACATGCCAAGAGAAATTTACAGTGAAACATATACTTTTAGAATGTGTAGATTTTGATCTAGTGCGAACAAAATATTACCAAGTAAGTAATTTAAAAAAAAACTTTTTACAAAATCATTCAAGATTGTAAATTTCCTAAACAAGTTGGATTGTACCCAAAAATATGAGTAATTGAAAAATGGTTCAAATATATCTGTACACATACACACCTTTTTTTACCAAACTATCGCTATGAATCTATTTTTAAAATTTTGTTGGCATTAAATGACCCACAGAGGTTGATATGCCATAAAACAAAACAACCAACCAACCAAGAAATTTTGGGTAGCATCTAAATTTTTTAATGCAAATATTTTGTAGGTTTTAAATTCTTTATTATAAAATTTCCGTATGATTTGAATTCTTTAATACAACAATTTGGTAGGATTATTACAAAATTTGGGTAGGATTTAAATTCCTAGAATCTTTGGGTCGAATTTAAATTCTTTGTTGCAGATTTTTGGTTGGACTTAAATTATTTTTTACAAATTTTTGGGAGGATTTAAATTGTTTCTTACAAATTTTTCATAGGATTTAAATTGTTTCTTACAAATTTTTCATAGGATTTAAATTGTTTCTTACAAATTTTTCATAGGATTTAAATTTTTCGTTACAGATTTTTTGGCGGTATTTAAATTATTACTACAATTCTTTTTTGAAGGATTTAAAGTTTTTCTTAAAATTTTTGGTAAAATTGAAATTATTATTACACATTTTGGTGGGAATTAAATTATTACTACACATTTTTATAAGATTTAAATTCTTTATTGGAAATCTTTGATAGGATTTAAACTAATATTACAAATAATGGCGGTATTTAAATTCTTTTTAACAGATTTTTGATACGATTTAAATTAGTACTACAACTTTTTGGTGGGATTTAAATTCTTTAATACAACTTATTTTTAGTATTTATTTATTGTAAATTGCTGGTACCTGAACAAACTATTACTTCCCCATGTTGCATTGAGCAATTGGCTAGTTTGAATAGCATCTTAAAACAGAATTTTTTTTTTTTTTTTTTGGTCTTCTTCAAGTTGTAAGTGGGACGAAAGAAACTATCTTTAAATTAGAAGTTTTTTTTCTCACGTGCAGCGTAATCTTCAAGAATATCACCTTCATTAGCATAATATTCGGAGTTGCTCGGACCTGATAGTCACACAGATTTCGTTCATATATCCTTCGACCTTTGTAGATGTCTGCAATAGTTGGTAAAGTTCTGGGAATTTCGATACGAATTAATTTCTGGAATCCACGTGTGTGGGGGGGGGGGTATTTTTATTCCACTGTCCAGATTAGAAGACATCGTCAATCAATTAACGCTTCCGAGTTCATATCGTCCTTGAGACGATGATCACTTGAAATCGGCTGAAACGTTATGACTATAACGACCAAGATTAAGGTATTAATCCTAATCAGAGTGTGGTAAGAATTAAAAGAAAAATAGCATGTGTTTCGTTTCCCGAAATCTTTCTTTCATTAAAAGTCATTCAGTATCATTTTTAATCAAATTTGAAAGGTAGACATTACAAAAAAGAAATATAAGAAAGAATCGTTATTTCTCGTCTGCAGTGATCAGCTCAAATGTTATTGAAGAAAAGAAATGTTCTTTATTAACCAAAAAAAAAAAAATGACTTGACAATTTAATCAGCAAGTAAAAATGGGCAGTAAAAGAATTTTTTATATATTCTAAAATAATAATTGATTTAATTTTTTCATTATTTCATGTCTGCTACGATTCGGGGCTGGAAACTATTTTTTTCTTTTAAATTGCGTCATAATAATTTTCGTTTTTAGGAAACCAAATTAATTGAATAATAAACAAAAACGTGAATTATTTATGACTAGACAAATCTTTCTCGACTTTATATGTACTAGAATTTTTTCAACATGCGGCAGAGTGTTTAAATCATCAAAGTATTTAGAATTGTTGAAGATATCGCTAATATCTTTTGCTGAAATTTACACTCTACTCTCCCAGCTGTGTTTATATTTAAACTGCTACTAATGTGCATTATATTTTATCAGCATTATATATATATATATATATATATATATATATATATATATATATATATATATAGATAGATAGATAGATAGATAGATAGTAGTGGTCAATATATATATATATATATATATATATATATATATGTATGTATGTATGTATTTCCATGAGGATAAAATCCAGGTAGAGCTCTATGTATAGGACAGAAAAAGAATATAATATAAAAGGCTCAAACACTAATATTCCATGGTTATAATTCATTACATTGGAATCGTAATCACGATCCAATTCATCAGACCTACAAATCCCAAAGAGCTTCTTTTTTTTAATTTGTAGGTCTGATGAATTACGATTCAAGTGTAATAAATTCTAACCATGGAATATTAGTGCTTGAGCCTATTATATCATAAAGCATAATATTTTTTTCTAAAAAAATCCACATTACAACCAAAAACGTTTGCGGCGCCTCTCTTCTCGTCTTTTTAATATACATACTTTTCTCTCATTGGAACCACTACAACCTCTTTCTGTTATATATATATATATATATATATATATATATATATATATATATATATATATATATATATATATATATATATATATAAAAACTTAAAGACAGAATATGCAAAAAAAAAATATTGCATTTTGATTAAATAAGCATTTGTTATTTTAATCATTAAATTGTATTTTAAGATAGTGGGAGTATTTATATGATAAATAAAACTTTTAATTTTTCAAAAAAAAATAATAAAAAATTTATTGTACTAAGCTACGTAAACTAGTAAAACCAATTGAACTTTGTGCCCCCTTACCTGTTTGCACTTCTCCCAAAAAATTAGTTTCGATCGGTCAATGTCTGGCTATTTTAGGGGGTGTGACGGGCGGACGGATTAATGGCAGACACAGAATTTTATATATAGATTCAACCTGATGGTATCGGCGCTCCATGAACCATTTTTAAGAAAAGTATTAACTATAAAGACACTCGTATTTAGAATCGAAAAAGAGTTTAAATTTGTAGGACATGAAGAAAGCGTATTTGGAGAATTTGACACACACTGGACCGAGAGAAACATAGAGTAAACTATCTAACAATCTTGTGAAAATACATAGCAGAAGAGGGGTAGGGAGATAGCACAGGAGACTTAAACGTTGCTTAAAGTTAAAACGATAGGAAGTTGTGGAGAGTCATGAGCACCCACGTCAAATCACGCTGAAACACCGGTTCTCGTACGATCACCGAAGTTAAGCATCGTAGAGCCAGGTCAGTACTTAGATGGGGACCGCTTGGGAACACCTGGTACTGTAAGCCCCAAAGTCCAACCCTTACCTCACAGTCGGTGGGGGTGTAGTGTCAGAGCTATGTCAGAGCTTCGTTCCTGGTAGGGCCACCCAAAGGCGGACAGGTCTGACACACACGCCGGCTAACAAGGGCTCTGGTGAAAATCCAAGGAGCGTCTGCATCGGTAACCGGCGGCTTCTGGTCGTTCCTGTCTCTGCGTCTGTGGTGAATGCCGCATCAGTACAGTACAGTACAGTAGTACGTCCTAAATGGACAGACCACCTAAATGAAGAAGATCACGTCAACAAGCAAAGTTGCAATATTTATTTACGTTGCTTTCTACGATCGAGATATTTATTAAACATTACTTAGTATGGCAAAACGACAAATAATGGTGTTGGAAAGATTGTATTTCGCCAGTCTTCGAGGTGGGAAGGGCTGATCTATTTACCTAAAAATCTACATTTGCTATATCAATATTTAATAATGTTGTTTTAGTAGTTCATGAAACCAGTCAGGGTGAAGTGAGTATTGGAAAATTGTATTCGAAGAGTCTTTTTTGTTTTTGTTTTTTTTGTTGTTGTTGTTGCTTGTTGTTGTTGTTACACTTTTGGTGTCTGGCAGATTGTAAGGCTAAAAAAAGCAGATAGAATTTCATAATATCGACATTCGAATAAATAAACAAGTACAGCATGCAAATATTTTGAAACCATTTTGAATGTTGGAAGTCAACTTTTGAAATAAAAGTCGCGTTGAAACACGTTTTGGTTTTACTTCTTCTATTACAGAAATGTGGTTCCTGCAATTCTCTTGATGTTTCAGGCGTGACTTCGCATCGATAAGTCAATACAAGAAATTCTTTAGCAAAAATAATTTTATAGTTTTTTTTTTTTTTTTTGTTTGTTTTTTAAATTGTTTATTTTTTTATTTATTAAAATATGAATGAACAACAGAAAATCATAGAAAATTTTTTTGTTCGCCACCTTTTTATCAGTTTCAGGACATCCTCAATTGAAATACACTACTGACGGCACGGAATCAGATGAACATTTAAGTGTTGTTTTGTTTTTTTTTATCTTGTGAGAGAGTTATTATTTTTTATTCTATCTATCTATCTATCTATCTATCTATCTATCTATCTATTTATCTCTTATTCTCCGTTTCTATCTATCTGTCTCTCTCTTATTCTCTGTTTCTATCTATCTGTCTCTCTTTCTATGTTTCGGTTTCCCTTACTATCTTGGATATGTTAGGATGATCGCTTTTACGATGGTAACCAATGTTGGGTGATTTAATGTCGAATGCTGTGGGGTCCACTCACTACTATTGGCCAACCAGAAGAAGCATCCCCTACTCTCCTCTCTTATCTTCTTTCTATCTGTGTCTCTTTCTCTGTCTGTCTGTCTCTCTCTCCTTTCTTTCTCTCCCTCACTCTCTCTCTCTCTCTCTCTCTCTCTATATATATATATATATATATATATATATATATGTGTGTGTGTGTGTGTGTGTGTGTGTGTGTGTGTGTGTGTATGTCTGTGTGCGTGTAACTTCCAAGAACATTTAAGGAAATTTTTAGTTGATAATACAAGGATCCTTTTCAGGTCACATAGTCGTAAACAGTTCGTCATTAGGGAGGCTCTGTTTATTACACACAATTCTCACACTATCAGTCTTACACTATTTAGCAGAGATTGCGTGTTAAAAGTGTTCTAAAAATAGAAGTCTTGCCCCGGTCAACTGGCCACGCAGTGCAAGTAACCGCTAAGAAGCACACAAACAGCTAAAACTCCACACTGTAAAACTACTATGTAACAGCCACGCACAGAATTTCACCATTCAAAACACATCCTTGATAATGGCTAGAGAAGTAACCGAAAGTGCTCGGAACAATTATAACCATGGACAATTCCAATATTCTTTAACTGCAGAAAAACGGGAAAATGTCAGATTGCTGGAAAAACACAATAAACACTGCGAATTTTTTCTAAGCTCTATACTAAACATTAAACCTAATGAACACAAAACGATCAGCTTTAAAAAAGGACTCGTAACTGGAAAAACCGAATGAAAAAAGAATGTTAACAACATATACTTTTTCACACCCGACCCAGTCCTGCGGAATCAGAATCAACGTTGAGTTTAAGCAAGCGAATTATCCAATTGAAGTAAAGTGCCATGCAGATTTAAATTTTCCCCACTTGAATGCAGCTATCGATTTTTTTTTTTTTTTTGCATGCTAGCATGCTAGTTAAGAATTCGTGTCAGTCAGCTGTTGGTTCTCACGCTGGCCAATAGAATCTTCCTGCCTCTGGCCAGTAGAAAATGGCCGCAAACTACATGAAAACTGCTGTAGAAGCATGAAAAAATCGATTATTTCTCCTATCGATGGGAGTTGGGAAATGCAATGTCGGTCTTCGCCTTCCAACTAACTTGGAGCTTGTGCATGTAAATTTTGGTGCCAATCCGTCGAAAATTTCGGCCGTGCATTCGTTACACACATCATGCCTTATATATATATATATATATATATATATATATATATATATATATATATATATATATATCCAGGTAAGATGAGAACAAATGTAGTATAATTCCACTGTACTTTTACATTTAAAAGAGAGTTCAATACAAAGTAGAGCTAAATATTATTTATTTTAGGATATTAAAACAAAAACATGTTTTGAAACTAAAATAATCGTTCATTGGACAGTAGTTAAACATCGGCCGATGTGACATATGTGTAGTGTTGTATCATAATTTTAATTGTGTATCTATTTTTAACATGTTTTAATATCCTATATATATATATATATATATATATATATATATATATATATATATATATATATATATATATATATATGAAGAAATATCGTTTTAAGCTATGCTATATTTATGGGATAAAGTGAAGTGCTCAATATTAGAGATAGAGCGTATGTAAATATAAATTGAACACTAAAGTTAATACTAAAAAAAAACTCATACTGTTTCATGTTAAACGCAATTATGAGACATAATTTTATGTGACCAGGTGAGTGCGTTTAGCATGAAACCGTCTGTCGCCTCTGAGTGTTAACTTCAATGTTCGCTTCTATATGATTAATACAAATATAATTTTTTACTCAGTTGATTTATGTTATATTCATCACTTTTTAAGTCTATAGTTTCGTAGGCATTCTTGTTGTAATTGTTCACTGAACTCATGACGAGATTTCAGAAACTGACTGCTGCTTTTCTCAATTTTCGTTATTTTTACAGTAAGTTTGACGTAATTAATTAATTCATTCGCTAACTGGGGATTCTTATTATTGGTGTTAGGCTGATTATTTTTGTTTTGCGTGTGTATGTGTGTACGTGTACGCGCCTGTGATATTGTGTGCGCGTGATTATGTGCGTATGTGTCAAATGTCATGATATAAAATTCAAAGATTTCTCACCCGACTCTGAATTTCGTAGAAGTAATTCAGAACTTCAATTGATTTACCACCGCCTGTAAAGTTCGGGCTTATCTTTAAGAAACTCAGAGTCGGGAGGTAAGACTTAAATTTTTTTCATTTTCCAATTAATCAATTTCTATTAATTAATTTTCTATTTCTAAATATTGAGCACTTTACGTTAAGCTAGTGAACACATGGAGGATTCCAAATCGCCTACAATATTTACCATCTTTCTCTCTCTCTCTCTCTCTCTCTCTCTCTCTCTTTCTCTCTATATATATATATATAATATATATATATATATATATATATATATATATATATATATTAGTGGTATATATATATATATATATATATATATATATAAATTCCCAAGAGGATAGAATCCAGGTAGAACTCAATGTCCAAGACAGAGTAAGAATATATATATATATATATACATGAATTATTCACACAAAACTAATGCAACTTTGCATTAGTTTTGTGTGAATAATTCATGTATTTGTAAATTGTAAATTGATTGCACGTTTATTGTAATATATATATATATATATATATATATATATATATGATCGAAATAAAAGCATAAAACTTAATATTACTAGACATATTAAAATATTTATCTCCCGTTGAAGCCTGAAGAGCGGGAGCGAAACCGGTTGCTTCGCCCGTTTTTAATGTCTAGTATTATTAAGTTTTATACTTTTAATTCGACCATTAAATTTTGTACCTAAAAAAAATATATATATATATATATATATATATATATATATATATATATATATATATATATATATGGTATGGATATGAGTTTGTAAGCCTGGGTTTCACGCTTTTGCGCTCATCAGACAAACTGATTTCATTTTTTTTAAAATTTGAATCTATTTATGTTGGTTTGTGTTTGATTATGTTTGGTTGTGATGGGGGGGGGTGACTAAATTCTCCACTGTGTCTGTTTTGGAATGACACTCATACAGACATATATACATATATACAGGCGTACGTATTATAGTTCACACATGCACACACATATATAGACAATGTGAAACCAGGCGCAGATATAGATATTTTCCAACAGTAGCTTAGATGTGGCACAAGGCCGAAAGTAGGGGCACCCAGTGAGGATCGAACTCACTACTCAGTCGCAATTGTTCTAGCCAGACAAGCTTGCTAACCATTACACCTCCTCGAGGTGCCCAAGAGATTTTGTAAGCGCAGCTTAAATGCGGCACATGGCCGAAAGCATGTGGCACCCAGTGAGGATTGAACTCATGATTCTAGCGAGACAAGCTTGCTGGCCATTACACCTCGGCGAGGTGCCTGACCAGACACAGATATATATCTATTTGTTCGAACGCACATACATACGCAATTGTAATCCTATTTCGGTGTTGAGGCTGTGTGTAGCGAAGTTCTTTCAAAAAGGGTATTGGCTGGGGTGTTCTTAGATTTATTCAGATCGGTTGTCTGTGTCATCAAATGGAATAAGACTTCTTCACACATACACACACATCTTTCCTCTTCTCTTTTTATTCATTATATATATGTGTGTGTGTTTGTATGTGTATGCACGCGCGCTTACACAGGTGTATGTGGTTAGTCAATGTCCGTATAAAATAAAGTAATGTTTATTCATCATTTATCTAGAAAGAACTGATGTCATAGCCATGATTGAAACATCAATGTTAATATAATTTGATAATTTGCATGATATTTCCCTAATTATACAGCGGTAAAAGTATTATTAAATCTCTTCCCATAATTTGAATTGCCCTTTTATCATTATTGTCTTCGGGCTTCTATGAACAATGTGAAAGTTATTTTCCTTTTAACGTATAATTTGTGGCCATAACCTCGCCTCTGATGAGAGAAATTAAGAGGTTCTACTATTTCGATTAACTGTTCTTGAATTTATCTAAACAATTATAAAAACTGGTTCTTTGGCAATGGTGTCAAGTTGTCATATCTTAGCGTTGACGCAGTTGGACTTTCATTTCGTTTCTCTTACGGAAAACGGGCGTGATTTCAAATCTCACTAAGAGTTTATTGTTTACTAGCGATTCGCCTTCTATTCCCTGCCGTAGATTTCCCCCCGAGTAAATCTTGTCAAAAACAAATGAAGGTGAAAGTAGTGATTTTCCAAGCGTAGCTTAGATGTGGCACAAGGCTGAAAGTAGGAAGCACCCAGTGAGGATCGAACTCACTATTAAGTGAAAATTGTTCTAGCGAGACAATCTCGCTAACCATTACACCGCTTCGAGATGCCCAAATGAAGATGAAAGTAACTGCGAGTTAAAAATAAATATTAATCATGATTATATCTGTTGTAGAGTAGTTTTCACAGTGGAGGCTTGTACTTCACTAAGTCGGCCCTAAAAGGGTTCGATGTACAAAACGTTAGGAACTTGAAAAAATAGTTAATGACGCAGCAATCTAGTTGTGGGGTTGATACTTTAATGTCCGATATCGACTGACTCACACAACTCACTGAGCTCCACTGGCGACTGCTACTACTACTACTACTACTACTACTTATTATCTGTGGGAGAGTCTTTTTACAATAGTATAACAATATCATTATTTTTTCTTTGAGTTACATGTGTTATTCATTTTAGTTGCTGCTGTTGTTAAAAGTTAAAATAAAGTAAAACAGGAAGAAACAAAGTAATGAGTACAAAAAAGTACTGAATTGTTATGTAATATTAGTCATCCTATATGGCAGTGAACGCTAGATAATCTCCTCACAGATGAAGAGGGGACTTGAACTAATAAAAATGTGGTTCAAAAAATGTGGTTTATAAGTCTACA